CCGGGTTCGGATCCCGGGTGCGCATCGAGGCACCACTTCTCCGTTCATCCTGAGGCCGAGTCCCACATACAGCAACTAGAAGGATGTGCAGCTACGACACACAAATATCCACTGGGGCTTTGGGGGGAAAAATAAAATTAAAAAAAAATAAAAAAAAAATCTTAAAGCGACTAACAGACCCAAATTAACGTCTGGTTTAACATGAGTTGATCTAGTGGATCTCCAGTGGCATCATATGTGTCCAGCAAACCCAAACCATTTCAGCAAAGGGCCGTGTCTGAATCCACCCAGGAACTCGGCTTTTCACGTAGGAAGGTCTGTTAAAGCCCTGATTACAAATGCTGCTTCCGTGTCTGTTCCCCGAGGGGGACGAGGCACATCAGACGTCCGTTTCTTTGTTCTGCACCAGGACGGACGCTGGTCATAAACACGGGACCAGTGTGGCCCCGTCACCGCACCCAGACCGGAGTGTGGGACGGAGGGCCGACAGGGGGGCAGGTTCCATCCCGAGCACAACCACCACAAACGGAAAAGGGGTGGGGGGCAACGACGGCAACTGCAAACCGGAGCCAAGCCAAGGGCGGGGGCCCCAGCTGGGCGGGGATCCGGGAAGCGCCTCCCGGGCAGGTTCCACGGCGCCCCCTACAGCGGATAACCCTCTGGGCTTCCTCTCTCGGGCCGGCCGGGGGCACGCGCCCCTCAGACGGCCGCCCCCAGGGCCGTTCGCAGCCCAGACCCGCCGTGCCCAGTCGTCCCGGGCCGCACTCACCCCGGAGGAAGCCTTGGCCCCCTCGTCTTCTTCGCCCCTCCAGGCCGGCGACGTGGGGCTGACGGCCAGGTCGCAGAAGGTAGCGCCGAGCGGAGCCCGCTCCCCTCGGACGGCGGCAGAGACCCGGGCCCAGTTTCCCGGCCGCAGCGGCAGCGGCAGCGGCTGACCCGGATGCAGAGAGCAGCCCCGACGGAAATGACAGCATCGCGACCTTCTCCGGGCGCGGCGGCCGGCGGAGGCGTGGCGTCTTCTTGAAGCCCCGGAGTCCCTCCCTCGTCCCCTCAAGCTGCCGCCCCCACGCTCCCGCCGGGCGGGCGGGGCGCGGAGACGCCTTGGCGGCGCCTCTGAGGCTGCAGGTGCTTCCTTGCTCGCTGGGAGTGGATCCTCAAGTCTCAAAGAGCCATTTTTGTATTCTTTATGTTAGCTTTATTGATCATTACGATAATTGTATGTTATAAAATGGATGAAAATAAGGGAGGAAAAATATCTGAGGCCACATTTTGGGGAATTAAACCTCAGAAGAGTTTGGTAAAATGCTCGAGGGTGAACAGCTTTACTCTACAACAGTGCTTCTCAAACTATATATATACTATATACGATACAAACTATATACAATAAGTAGGGATTGATCAATTTATAGTTTTTTAAAATTTCCAATTGGTTGTGGGCCATGCTTTGGTCAGAAAAAATTAAAATATCAGACATTTTATCGTTAGAGTCAGCAGCCATAAAATTACCTGTTAAATTGGTATAAAGGTTTCTAAACGCTTCTCTCAATTTCTGTACTTGTCTCGTGGACCAGTAACGAACAGTTCTCTGAAACGCCCGGGTCTGTGGATCATACTTTTGAGTAGCAAGACTGCTCTACAGCTTCAAGGAAATAAGATTAGTTTGGAGAACATCATAATCCCTCTCAGAAATCCCACTAAATCCCTACAAAGGTGTAGCAGTCAACTATTTGGGTAAGGCATTAGGGAATGGTGGGGCTTGAGGGGAACTGTAAAGCTTAAAAATTTAAATCATTGACCCAAAAATGCAGCTCCCAGGTTTACATAGCTTTAGCAACATTTACTCACTATTGGTGGGGGGTTAAACTCTCTGTATCTCATCTATAAAATGGGAAAAATTAATACCTACTTGATAGGTTTTTTTGAGATAAAGTCATGTGTTAGAACAGTGCTTTGTGTAGTGTAATCGTATATAAGTGTTAGGTATTATTATTTTCCCCCATTCTGGAAATTTTTTAAAAAGCTAGCAGAGAAAACAACCAAAACTGATCAACAGAGCCTTAGCTAAACAACTTCTTGGGCTATGCTCCTGTAAGCAATTTCATCTTTAGTTACGGATTTTTTGTAGTTCTGTATTTTGCTTATTTCAGTCTTGCAATGAGTAGTATTCCCCACAGGGTGGCAGAAAATCATTTGAAGTCATATGCAGTTATGTGATTTTTGTAATCTTTAGTTTCTTTTTAATTTCAGTAACTTTATTGTTTAGTAAGCTTGGTCAGTGTTTGCTTTGGTTTTGAGTAAGCCATACTAGTATTTGTCTTTTTATCCCCATCTCATGAATTATCCATACTTACTGTGAAACATTAGAAACTACAGATAAGGTAAAAAAGATAATCACACTTAATACATTTATGTATATCTTTGCAGATTTTTGTATACATATAACTGTATAAATAGCATATGTATGTTTTTATAAAAGTGAATTAATGTACCTAATAGTTTATAATCTAATTTTTTTCTTTTCATTTAAAAGTATATTATGAACTCCTTTTCAGGCCAATAAGTATATTTTAACACCATAATTTTTATTATGGATAATTTATGTACTAACAACTACTTATTGAATATTTAGGTGGCTCCATTTTTTTGTTGTTAAAAACAACACTTCATAGAGTGTCCAACAAGTCAGAAACATAGGACTAACTTGTTTTCAAACAAAATACTAATTACATTTTAAAATAATATGCTCAGTATATTTTTTAGGTGAAATACCTCTAATCAGTGGGTCTAATTGTTAATCTGAAAAAAAGTATAAAAAGACACTATTTTCCCTGTGTTTCCAGACTTTTGGGATAATCTTAAGTGTATTTTTACCAATACTAGTTTGTTCTATGTGCCTCCTTGAGTAGGCAGATATTTAGACTCTTAAAAATTGGAAAATAATTGAGAGGGAAAGAAAGTGTGGCTTCTAGACGCTAAGTAGAAGGTATCATTTGGAAAGTGATACGTTAGCTCAGAGCCACCATCAACCTGTTCCTTTGTGGTTTCTGGCTTTGGTGTTATATTTAAATAGGCCCTCCTCACCCTAAAATTATACAATATATAGTTGTTAATATTTTCATCTTAAAAAATATGAACATTAAATCTAACTGGAATTTTGTATATATGCTTATGATATGAAGTAGGGAATCTGATTTTTACTAAACTGACAAAATAGTGTGCCTAACATTATTTATTGAATAATCCATTGATTCTTGAACTCAACTAGGACTCAATCAAATGAATGTTTACCTTCAAAGTTGTCATCCTAGGTTACCCACTTAGTTCAAGTATCCCTTCACAAACCTTTTGACAAACTGTTATATCCATTCACAAACCATCATTGGGCAAACCCTTTATTGAACAATATTGTGAGTCAATACTATTGGGCCCTGAGGGTACAGATAAAAATGACACAGTGTCTGCCTTCAGGGAGCTCACAGACTAGTCAGATAAGGGGCAAGCAAAGACAGTAAACAATTTGGTGGATTTACTTCCAAGGTGCAGCTAAATAGAAGGGAGCTAAACAGATTGAGGGGTGGGAGGTGAGGTCGATAAAGGAAGACTCTCCGAAGGAGGTGATCTCAAGCTTAGTAATAAGAGGAAGATCTTCCAAGCAGAGGGAATGGCATATGCAAATGCACAGAGGCATCTAGGAACTGCACATTGTTCATCATGACTGGAGCACGAGCAGTGGGAACGTGAGTGAGGTGAATGGCCAGTAACAAAAATAAGTAGTCAAAGGCCAGATTAAAAAGGGATTTTTTTCATGCTAAGAATTTATTCAGAGCCAATATAATGCATGACATGGAAAAACAATCAATTATTACTTTATAGTTGTGCTCGAAAAGAAGAGATTGAAACATGTCCTGCACCATGGCAGCATCAATATGATAAGTCCTAAAAGAACAACTTTGAGAAGGACGACACTCATTTGAATATATGCTTTAGTATGTGTGTTAAAATTATTCATGTTACTTTGTCATACTTTGTACATCAAAATAAAAGCACTCAGCCAAATAGACTTGAAGAGGTGCTGAGTCTGCACCTGCTCCCCATTCCGCCCTCCAACCTTGGACCAGAGGTAAGATGAGAGATCATAAAGAAGACATTTGAGACAACGCTATGAAAATGTTTGTGTAAATTCAAATTTCAGAAGGCATAATGTACATTAGACTCTTGAATGCTGTTGCACTCTCCACTGCATAATTTTAGAGACAGATTGTTATTCTTACTTATGAGCATATAAATTCAGTGATGTTTGGCAGCTCACTCATAATTTTTGAAAAAATATGAAGTGTCTTTTACATGGGCTGAAGATGTCTCTGCTGGTTGAGCTTGAGGGTAAAACCGGATACAATTATATATTCATTTAATTATTCATAACTTGAGTCTGAAATGAATGTGTATATATTTTTCACTTATTCGCTTTAGAAAATTCTAAACTAAACCCAGCAGCAGTTTTGTCTTTGGCATGGTGACAAGTGTCTTTTCTACAATGAACCAGTAAAAGAAATTGTTCCAGAGAGAATTTGTGTTCCCTATTTCAGAAAATCCAGTTGGACTGCACATATATATTACACATCACCTTTGCGTGGTGCTTCCACATTCCACAGACTACACAGAGGGAAGCAGCAGCACACGTGTCTAGGAAATATTTCCATATGCAGAGTTAGGTTATGGCCATTCAAGGGGAAAACTAGGCTTAGTTGCTGGAGAGTTTTAGTCAATAGGACTCTAAGAATTCAATTCATTCAGGGAAGTAGCTAGGTTATGGGTTGAAGTTGTGTGAGAGCAAGAGTTCAGATCCTGACACAGTCCTGTTTTTTGAGGGAGGGAGGATACACATTTTATTCAACAGAAGTTAGGAAAGACTAGTACTGTCTTTGATTACTCATCAAAACTAATAGTGTGAACAAATCTTAGAGTCCACATTCAAGTCCTCTGTGAAGATATTTCTGCAATGTCATAAAAAAAATGGCAAATATGAGTTTAAAACTGAGGGTATACATTTTATAATGCAAAAGCATAAAATTTGGCAAAATCATAGCAACAAATAGATTGGAGATCGTGGTTGTCATTTGGAAAGAAGATGATGGACAGAGGTCCCTCTACCCTGAATAGGGGTCATTCCAAAAAAAATCACTGCACTTATTAAACTCTTGCAGAAGTAGCAGACATAGTATCACCATACTTGGTTTATTGCTAAAATCAAGATTAATTTTGAAGAGGGAAGTAGATTTCACTCTTTCCTCTTTCCTTTAAGATGTGAAATGTTAATAGCAGTGTGACCATCTATATTTAGAAATATACAAATAAGTAATAGCTTCCAACTTGAAAAAAATCAGAGCTTGATTGATTGATGATGATGATGATGATGATGATGATGATGATGATTTTTACCGGTAATAATGCTTTTTTAATTCTTTCTGGGCTGGGTAAATAAAAGCGAGAATTGATCAACTAAGGTGAACTGTTCTGCGGTCAGTTATAGTCCCTGCATCCCGATTAACACAAAATTAGATATAACACTGTCATTCACCAAAGCATTAATCATTTATTCTGCATCTTTAGAATCAAAGTACAATCTTACTTGTTTCAAGAAAACAAGTGCACTTCAAAATACACAAACAATTGTTGGGTCAACCAGGAATTTCATTCTGTTTAATGAAAAGTGCTAACATGGCTCTGTGTAAGCAAGTGCATTTTTATTTAGTACAAATATGAAAATTAAAAAGTGATATCATCTAATTCACTATTGCAATGGGCTAAATGTTCAACAAATGTAATTCCAAAAATACTTTACTCCTCAAAAGTAACTACCTCAACTGAGAGAATCTAGGTGATTATTTATATTTTAAAACACCTATTATATTTTAAAATATGTGTTAGTGTAAATAGGTAAAATGTACTAACTCAACTCTTTTTAAT